TTTGTAGAGTATCTAGCCAAAATTTGAGGAAGAGGATGAAATTATTGGTGGATATATTGTTCTATTTTTTAATAAAATATAATTTTTTTTAGGTTGGAAGATCTTAACCATGAATTTTAGAAGTGGAATCCAAATTATTACATTTGTTGGAAATTCATTGGTCTTGTATGCTCCTAAGCAAAGTGCAAGTTTTTGTTTGGAGGATTGTTCTCAATATATTTCCTATTAAAAGTGGATTTTTCAAGAGAGGTATTCTTAATGATATACACAATAAGGTATTCCCTTTATGTTTTCATCCGCATGAAGACCTACTACACCTTTTCTTTTGTCGTCTTGTGAGTTTACTGTTGAATATGTGACTCTATGCACAAGTTGGGGCGGAGATGAATTATGGAGGTTTGACAAATAATAGTTTAAAGCAAAATCATTTTCTAAATCAGAGTTTAAAAACATTTTCTAAAAAACGTATGGTTATGCAGCAGAAAATATAGATAAAGAAAATAAACAAAAAATAAAAGATTTAAGAAAATAGATATTATACGAGAGATTTATAGATGTCCGATCTTAAATAAGAGACCTACTATTCTCCCAAAAAATTGATCTTGAGAGTATCCAACAATGCTTAATAGATTTAAGAAGGTTAAGCCCACGAGCCCCCTTATACAAGGAAATAAAGTATTAGGCTAACTTCTAACCAAACAACGAATAAAGGAATGAAATGGTCAGTATTCACTCCAAAAAACGAGCAGAGCTTCGAGCATTTAACTCTAACATAAATTGGGATTTTGCATAGGATGATACCAAAGCCAGTTGGAGTTTTGAGCTGACTATCCTTTAAGTCGAACGAATGGTTTACACGGGCTGACCATGAACCAAACCCAGATTTTTGTTGGATTGATCTCGAATCTACTGAGCTTTTACACAGGCGAAACTCATAAATCAAGTGAAATTTTATACTAGACTAATCTCGTACTAATTGATTTTTTTTACCAGGTTAAGCTCAAGAACCATTATGAAGATTTTTCTCTAGTTATTCTTCACGAACCCAAAAGGAGAGCATTTCGTCAACATGGAGCTCACGAATCAAACGAAGACTCATACAAATCCCCAAAAGAGCTTTTACACTAGTTTAGCTTAAAATAAACTAATTCCTAAGGAAAAATACTTTACTCAAGAGGAAAAATAACTCTTGGTAAATTTTTAATAATGCCCTTCACACAACAATTTTCTCACTAAACTCAAGAACACTCTAATGCGAGAGAAAAATATTTTTTTTAAAGCGATTGAGAGGAAGAGGAAAATGAGATATTCATGTTTTTTTGGATGTTTTAAAATGAAGGGGAAACCATCTATTTTTAATCCAAGAGATGGTCCATTTAGGAAACAATCCATGGGGTAAAATAAATGACCTAATTGATTAGGTACATGAAATAATGCATTATTGTTGCCCAAATTAAAAGGTTTTGATTAAGAGTCGTTATATTTAATTAAGACATTGTCATAATCGATTATTGACTTGATTCACCCTCATCTAATTGATTAGGTATTTGTTTTAATCAATTATAAAGTTTAAAAACTTGTCATAATCATTTTGGTAGTTTTCAAATATACTAGTGATGAGGACTAATCAAGAACATGAAGAAGATAACTAAGTATTTTATTTTAATTTATTTTGTAATAATTTTATTTGTTTTAATTTGGGATTGTAATAGTTTTAATTTAAAATTAGTTGATGTTTGCCTCATTTCCTTTATTTTAGGAAAATATGATGTATCCTAATATGGACTTAAAAAGCGGTGTTTATGACCTATTGAATCTTATCATTGACTTCCTTACCATTGTGGCGATTCCTCTTGACTTATCAATCTCCATGATCATGGCTTCTTCTTCTTCTTCTTTTTCATAGTTTGTAGTTGATTATAACTATTATTGTATGTGTGAGAATGTTTAATTTGGTGATTAATTGGTCTATTTTAATTGAAATTCGTGGTCTTAGTTGCTGTTTTTGTAGAAAAATTCAGGGTTTTGTATCCTCACTTGCAACATTTTAATCCATAATTTCATATGCAAATTTTTTTTGATTTTATTTCTTCAATACATTTTTGATTTTGGAAATTCAAATGTCCATATTTATTAGAAAAATGAGAGAATTCAAATATGCGGGAAAAAATTTAATAAAATGATGCAAAATAAAGTAATTCTACACAAAATTAAAGCACTTACAAAGAAGTCATTCTAAAAAAAAGAAAAAAAACTTAAATTTTCATAATTGTTCATTTTGATACATCATTTTGTTTTCCTCTATTATACATTTGAAGTTTGGTTTTAATAAATTTTCCCCTCATATTTGTGTCATTCACATAATTGAATCATTTAGTCATTTTCATTATTTCTTGAGTTGTTTCATTCGTAATCCTTTTAGGTGTGTCTTCCTATGCTTAACTTTCTCGTTTGTCTTCAAAACTTCTCCTTGTCTTGTCTTATAGTATTTCCTATTTGAACTTTGTTGTTAAAAGCCTTTGTGCATTTGTTGCATTATCTTTGAAGTGTTGATTGCGATTCTTACTTGAGTTCCTTTTTAAGAACTTGAAAAGAGGATTTTGATTTGGAAAATTCAAAATTGCAAAATTTTGAGAAGTCATAAATCAAGTGAAAACACAATTGAAAAATTTAAGAGTCTGAACACTTAGTTGAGCGGAAAGGTCCTTTTAAACATGAGATTTTCCCACGATTGGCCCAAACAACATTAAAAAACAACTTGAGCTTTTGCACATTATCAATTCAAAAATAGCCTACAAACAACCTGAGATTTTACACAGACTCAACTCATAACATTATCCATAGTTTTTATATAGGTTCAACTCAAGAACCTTAACAAGAGCTTTTAACATGTTCAGCTTAATAACCTTCACCCAACCTTTACATTTGAAAATACAAGAATACAAATATATAAAAGAAAAACTTTAATATTGAAATTGAAAACTATTGAAAGACAACATGAATAGGTTGTTTGTGATCGGAAAAAGGCTTGAACGCAATAACGATAGGGCAAGAATGAAAAATCGTAACGCATATGACTATAATATTGGCTAAAATCAGCAAAGACTCCCCAACAACATCGCCAATTTGACTTACTTTTGTGCACAGGTTAAAAACGAGTTATTAAATGGGTAGTATATAGAAGTGACACTCGATTCGTATCATAAGAACTCTGAGTTAACTTATCCGAAAGAAAAAAAAAGATTTTTTTTTCAAGAGTTCAAATAAATTTAAAGTATAGAAAATTTAGTTATGAATATGATTAAAGGATTAATCTACTGGTTCGCTAATTTCTGACTTATCATTGGTTATTATATTTCTAATTCCCTAAGCGCATTCCAATTCCTATTTGATTATAGTATTTATTAAACAAACATTATCAACACTATTTGAATTATATTCATATTTGCCTCATTAAGCATGAAAATTAATGATAAAGCAAAGTCAACGAAAAAGCTAAGTTGACAAGCGATTAAATCTAGGAACATGCATTGGTCAAATTTAATGAATCATATTCTATATCATACAATCATTGGGAATTGAACTCATGAAATTTATATATTGTACAACGGTTGTTTACTAAAACTATTATGATAGGTAGTGCGCTACCTAGTTTATCACAAAAGTCACACGTCCGTAGTTGAAAACATCATACTTACAACCACACCCCTACTTTAAAAAGAGTGGTCAGTCTTGATGGTATCCATTTTCCAACCGTTGTGAGAGGGTTTTTCATAGTAATGAATGCTTGATCTAATTTTATTCATTGCTTGAGTTCATGCATATTTAACAACCCATCTATGTGCTTTGATCACTTCTCGATGATACCTGTAAGCACATAGTTCCACATTCTCCCCTTTTTTTTATGATGACAACACATCTCACATGGTGGTGGTAAAAGAAAAGACATATGGATAAAATTTGAAGTGGTTTAACCCCCCTCACATGAGTAGATATTATACTCTACTCCCTCTGAGAGTATTTTTCTCCCCCTTTGTCATACTCAAAAAGGAGGATAAAGATTTCAAACATAATTTTAACTATATAAGCACATTGTTCATATAGTCAAACATATTAAAGGGACAACATTATTTTACAAATTTAAAACATTAGAATTCAAATTATAGAATGCAGGAAATTGCAGAAATTGTAATAATGTAGGAAGGACACACCTAAAGACTAAAAAACTAATCACATATAGGTGAGACTACTCATTGCCATAAGTATTACCCATTATTAAGGTACTCCTTTTGATAATGGACATGTCCTTTGTCAATTTCTGTAAGACTAGAGCATTATGTTGGTATATTTTTAGAAGATTGTTGACAATTGTATTCTCTACGGTTAGATGGAAAATGATTTCGCCCTTATCTGTCGATTCATACCTTTATTCTCCATGAAATTTTTGAAACCTCATTCTTCAAGCGAAGTGTGACCGATCTTGGTGTTGTTTCTTCCATAATAACAAATCCAAAAATAGTTACCTTTTGGTAATTAGGGATACATATGAAAGTCATGTTGTTCAGATTTTTTTACAGTCGATCATGTGAAGAAACATGTCTTCAACCTAATTAGTTTGAAACATTTGAGTCAGTAACCACAAAGGGACTAACCTAATTAGTTTGGTATAAGTGTGGTTTATATGTCATGAAACACATGTTAAACATTGTTTCTGTCAGCATTATTGATTTTTGGGATCAAGTATATATATTTACAATAACATATTAATGATTTAGATTTCAATCAATGATTACTCATTGGATTTATAGAGCAAGTATGGAAAATTTAGTGAAACGAACATCCGAGTTATACTTTTATAAAAATACACAATTACTTAACAACTTACAATTTTGAATACACAAGAACATAAATATATAAAAGAATAACTTTAATATTGAAATTGAAAACTATTGAAGGACATCTTGAATAGGTTGTTTGTGATCAAGAAAGAATTTGTAAAATTAGTTGGCAGCATTGCAGATACTTCTAATGATTCCGGCGGATCCAGTTAATGGTTGAATATCTCCCATCTTTATCATAGCAGTTGCAAAGTCGGATTTGAAAGATGTAGGATTTTGGCTGTATTGAGAAATAATAGAATTCGTAGATCCTCCGCTGAAAAGAACTTGGTCATATTGTAGAAGACCCTTCTTTTGAATTAAATTCTTAAAGTAGTTGTTGTCAAAAGAATTTGGTGTAACCAAGTCGAGTGCTGCCAACTTCTGATTATAGTGAAAATATATTGTGCTACAAGGGGACTGAACTACTCTCATTTGGGAGGAACCAATGTAAATCTCAGTGTGTTCTGTTATTATTTATTTTCTTATGTTAACATCCGGTGCAACGAATAATTAGAATCTGAACACCACTTTATATTCTAAACTCTGATCAGATGTAAACTAAATAAATGGAAAACACAATTCAAATCCCCCTTCTTGTTTATTTTTCTCACCTTCACACCACATATCTTTAGGCAAGAGAACAAAGAAATTACTTACACAACTTACAACCCCAAAAACCAACAAAATCACACAGTGATGGAAAATCAGTTGTAAACAACTCAAAATATGTTTCATCAACTAAATTAGAAAGGAATTCAATTTAAAAAGTGGAATGCTTTTCCATGGGATGTTTAATAGCCTCAAAAATGTTAAATTTTGCAGTAATATCACAAAACTCCATTGACATTGTTCCTTCATCAACATTAATTTTTGTTTATGCGGTTTTCAAGAATGGTCTGCCTAAAATGATGGGTTCTCTGCTTGCATTTTTTCATACCCCAAAATTTTCCACATCTAATTCATTCGGTTCATAATTCATATGCTTCCATTCAGTTCATTCATGCGTTGGCATCCATTCATTTACATTTCATGACCATTTGGTCTGGTCATAAAATGTATTCTTCATTCATAAGTCAAATCATTGTTAAGGATTGGATGCCAATCTAATTGTATTGTTTATGTTGACCCATTCATACATCCGTGTCATGCATCACTAGGGATTACTGAAGTAAGAACCCCTCTTTGTTCATCTGGATCATTTTGATTCCTTTTTGGGGTTGTTTATAAGATAAGAACTATTTGCTCTTTAATTATTGAGAAATGGATTATCATTTATCCCATTTGAACCTTGTGTGATTTCTTGTCATGATCTATTGGATCTCTCACATTCATTCATGCATACATCTATTATTCATAATCGACATTTGTTTTGTATTGCATTAAATACTTGTCAGTATGAATGTTTAGAAATTTGTTTTTACATTAAAGGTCTAACTTTATTTATTTAGAGCCATATCTTTGCATTTTTTATAAATTAGGTGCTAATTTTTTTTCATCATTTTATTTTGTTCTTAGGTTCTATCAAGAAAACCTTTTATCTTGATTAGAAATAATAGTAATAATAAGATTTGTTTTACATATTTAAAATAAGTCAAGAATTCAAGAAAAATAAAATAAAATGATGAATCATGTGTTTACAATTTAAAATTTCTCATTTAGTTTTTTTTTAATTTTTATTTTTACATAAAAGAGTATTACATGATTATATTTATTGCACATTAAAATTAAACAAAAATTAAAAATAATAGTTACAAATGTATTCCCTTTTAAACTTGCAGGTTTTAAATTGACTATTTTGTTTCTTTTATGCATAAAGCCATAGGGCAAACATCTTTTCTGCTCCACCATAGTACCAACCTAGAGCATCATACTTAAGAAAATTTGTATCCTGTATATGCAGAAACAACGACATATTAGCACAATGTAGAAATAAAACACAAAACTAAGTGTCGTAGTGAGAATCGGACACCATAGCTATTGAGTTAGCTAAGTTTCACAATCTTAATTCATCACCGATCTTTAATTTATCCAAGGGAAGGAAAAAAGAATGAATAACCCAAAGGTATGTAATGAAAAAAATAAAGCAAAAAAGAATTTAAAGTTTGGGGATTGGTTATACCTAGGGAAAAGGGAACCTCTTGCTTTAATGTGTTATTTGTTATTTGTTTGCTAAAAGGGTGAAAAGGGAAAGGAATACCTAAGGTGTTATTCCTAAGTATGCTCACCAAGACATTGCATCTCGTGCCTACGTATCCTGACTAGGATGGAATCAGAGCATTCGTAGTTCCCCTCACTAAGGGTGAAAACAAAGTTTGTTGATTGGTTTTAAAAGAGGAGACAAATTGGCATCTTAAGGAGAATACTCAACTTAAACCACCACAAACATGTGAAAGATGGACCTTTGCTTCACATTAAGAAAATGGCTCTAACTCGGATATCGAATTAACGAGTATGCCACATACCTCCCTTAAGTGGAAAAGAAATAAACATCTTTATCAACTATGTCACGGGGTAGGAGAATTACATCTCAACTAAGGATGACTCATGTATAATTCTCTTATGGGAGAAAGGGAACCTAATTGTAGGTTACCTAAAGTTGTAGCAATCCTAATAGGACTAGCCCAAGGATATAGACTAAGTGTTAGTCTAAGGAGAAAAGTCTAAGTGTATACACTAAGGTAATCAACCTAAAATGGGAAATAAGGTCAAGCAAAGAGGTGAGAAGAAGAAGAGGGAAATACAAAAGAGATGCAATGCATATGACAGTATAGTCAACTTAAAGTCCTTCCCTTGGACTCACAATAGAGGCAACCAAAATATCAAAAGAAAGTAGATAAGGAACATCATCAATCAAAGCCAAAGATAGATGATGAATATAAACATGTGAGAAAAGTAATATAACATTCAATTAACTCATAAAGTAAAGTGCTACACCATGAATCACGAGTGCATCATGTCAAGTACACATGAAAACCAAGAATGCACAAGCATACAAGGGTACGGAACCCTAAACAGACATCAGAAGGCAAAACAACCAAGTAAGATGGACAAAGATGAAAGAAGAACAAAGAAGGTCAATAGCTACATCACATCATGTTCAACTCATATGAAATATTATAAGAGGAGAAAAAGCATATAAGATATGCATCATAACAAAGCTCAAGCAGTTGCTCACACATAACTCATGCAAAACACACTTCAAAAGATTAGCCATGTGGGATTAGGGTATGAATCCAAGTGGGGGCAGAAATATAATCATGAACATAAACTTAGACATCAACTCATGAATACACAATAGAAAATATAAGGATTAAATCCAAAACATGTATCAAGGCAAAGCAAGCATACATCATGGTCAACTTCAAAGAAAACATGTGTTCAAGCAAGGTGCAAAGTACAAATTGATCAAGTAATGCACACCATAATGTTAGAACCAGAAGCAAAGACAAATGATTTAATCCATATTCAATTTCATGATATCAAATAAAATCAAGAAGAATCATGCTCAAAATGTTAGACAAGCACTAAACAAATCATCCATAACAAGAACAAAGTGATCATGTAAAGAAAAAAGATGAGAAATGACCATACAATGGACATTACATCATGCAATTTAAGTTCTCAATCATGTCATTCCAATCACACAAGATTCAACAAACATCAATTTTATCATACAAGGAACCATCTCAAGAAATTAGGTCAAGAATGTCAAAGAAGCATGGTCACAATTCATCAACTTGGAAAATTAACCATAAATTTGAAAAATAATCAAATGGAAGTGAAATCAAAACCATAATTAAACCAATACAATATATGATCATAATCCATAATCATCTAAAACTTCACTCAAGCACAAGTATGAAAAATGATTTGAAACTAGGTCAAGCATCATGCATATTCAATCCAAAACCAACATATAATTAGGCATCAATCAAAAATAGAGAAATGACCTAATAAAAATCAACAAAAGGCTCTACCTCATGCTATATCAATCAAGAATAAATTGTGCAAAAGAACACAAGAAGAAATGCATAAATGCACCATCAAATGAAACCAAAGATTCAAGACAAACCACCAAAAATCAATCAAAATTTGACCATCCAAGTACCAAAACAACATTCAAACATCCATCATTTAAGTGTCAAAATATTTTAGAAAAATTGGCTCAAGGAAGTAAGCAAAAACATCAAAGGAGCAAACCCTAACTCAACGGTAAATATGTCAAACACTCTCACAAATTAAATTCAAATAAAATAATAAAAATAACTGGAATATAAAATAAAAATCAAGGAAAAATCCTCAAGACATTAAGCAATCAGAAATAAATTTTTGTGAATTTTTATCATGATTGGAACATCAAAAATAAAATCAAAATCAAAATGGAAGAAAATAAAATGAAAAGAAAAATCAGAAAGAAATGAGGGGTGTATCAACAATACTTAGTTGAACTAAAAACTAGTTCACTGTGCACTTGGGCCCAGAATGGAGGGTGCGAAAAGCAAGAGTGACTAAGCCCAAGTCACTTAGAAACACATTCAGAAACACATATGTCCACGTGTGCACCCTCATTAAAATATGTGGCATCCACATGTGAGCCACGTTGCCTGGTCAAAGAATCAAACATGCCACCTCAGCCAAGACACCTTAGACGCTGAAGCCCTAGCTCCGGTCGTCTTCCCCGGTGAGTCTCACCGGTGATGACTGTAAATCCCCATAAAAATGAGAACAAGGGCATCATCTCACATGAAATTTCATAAGGATCACGAATCCGCCATCAGTTTTCCAAAAAGGTGCCTCTAACATCATGAAAATTCAACATGAAATCTTGATGCACAAACTTAAAGTTACTTAAATCAACACAACAATGCATCAATCAAAATCTACCATAGGGTAAAAAGGTATCATATTTATCAACAATGAACCAAAAACACACAAGAACAGAGAGAATGGAGTTGAAGAATCTTACTTAACGGAGAAGCTCCGTTGGCCTTTGAAACCTTGGAAAAGCTTCAGAAGTTTCCTCTACTATCTTCTTTGTATTTCAGTGGTGCTTGATAAGCAAGAAACCAAAGGAAACTTATGGAAAAATGCATATTCGAAAAGAGATGATCTTGAAAGAGAGTGAGATGTTTTTCTATGAAAACTTGCCAAAAATCCATTGAGAATTGTTTTTAGGGTTTGTACTACTTAAATATGATGGGTAGGGAGTTGTTTATGGCCTTAAACCAATGTAAAAAGTTTGTTTGGGAATTTTTCAAAAATGAAAGATGGATGAGGGAACACGGTTTTGGAACTAAAGTGAGGTGTACTTAGTGTGATTTTGTGAGAAAAATGTAGCATGAAAAAGGGAAGAATGAAGTTAGCACATGAGAAGAGAGTGTGATGGAAGATTTTACCTCTTCATTCCTTTTCAAATTTTTGCCAAAAGGATG